CAAAAAAAAAAAAGTTTTTTTATTATTTTTTTTTGCTTCTGTTGGATCTTTGCGATTTTTTTTAACACCTTTTGCAAGGCGTTTTGTTCGCCCACGCTGCCCATGCATTCGCGACCTCGCTGCACCAGGATAGAAAAGTGCGTTCATTTCGCGCGCGTGGGGGGAGGGGGTCAAAATATTGACGTCGGAGTTGGAGGTGCGTTTATTACGCGAGTGGAAAAAAAAAAAGTCGAAATTTTGAGAGCCGACTTGGGGGGTGCGTTCATTACGCGAGTGCCTTCATTGTGCGAGTAAATACGGTATAATGAAATAGCGGATATATCGAAATGATATCTGATTCCCATTGACTTCCTTATAACCATTCTCGACATTATTCAACCTTTATTATGCAATCTTTTTGTCAACGTTGCGACCGATTTTGTTTTTGTGTGGCGACTATCAAATTTTTTTATTCTCGGGATTTTGCATGGCTACTGCTTTTCGGCAGGGCTGACGACCCAGCATTCTGACCACGCTCAAAGGGGCCATGAAACAAAAATTTTGGGCTTGGATATATTCCAGAGGAGAACAAGAAGGGAATTCTTTTTTTCCCTCCTCTTAAACTGTTTGGTAACGCTGCGCAATTTGTGCCGTAGTAACTTTTGTTTGAATTTTGAGCAACCGGCTAATCTTCTAGGGGGATAATGGCAACATTCAGAGGGGAATTCCAGAGGAGAACAAGCAGGGAATTCTTTTCCCTCCTCTTGAACTGTTCGGTAACACTGTGAAATTTTTAAATTGAGGAGGAAAGCTAAGGAAAAGGTTGAAAAATTGCTTCATGGCCCCTTTAAGGTATTTTGTCCGCATCTTCCAAATTCAAATGCTTTGGAGTTATGGGATGGCGCTGTTTAGTCTTGCTTTTCTGCGTGTGTAGCACTCCTGAAACAGCCTCAATGAGAAAAGCACTCTCAGTGCACAAATAAATAAATAGATACCGTTAATTAGCCTTAAAGGGACACTGACACCCCCCAAAAATGTTTTTTTATTTTTTGCCAGGCGCTTCATTATGGTGTCGGAGGACTACCCAATTAATATTTTGCAACAGAGTAGCGTATTTCTTTTATAAAGCCAAAAGACGCAACTGCTCGAAACCGAAACCGAAACCCGACGGAGGTCGAAGAAGTGGAGAGAAGAGAGCGACTGGCGGAAGTCACGTGGCTACACCCGACCGTGCGTTTTTTTTTTCTCCTCTCCGGTAGCAGACGACACGACATGCGGCGTGCGGGAACTGCTTGCCGTGCGATTGTTTTGCAGTTATGTTTGTTCCGCTCGTTGTTCTGTACTCCAAGATGAGTTGTTTTGTACATTGAGGAGTTGGAGATGAGTAGTGAGTGCCCGTGGTGAATTTCCATGATCGGCTCCGAAAATAATAAACCCAAGATGTTGCGTGAAGAGCTGGCTCACATGTCCTGCATCCGAAAAAAAGTGGCATTGTGCGACAGAGTTTCCGAAAGATCAACGGGATCGGGACCAATGGCTGGCTGCAATTCCTGTAGAACATTTACGGGCACCTCGGAAAGCGGACGCTACCTGATTTATATGCTCCTTGCATTTTGTGGAAAGTGATTACATTGAGTTCGCAGGTGTCAAAACGGAAATCCCTTACCGTTTAATTCAGCGAAGTATCGTCCACAACATTTGTTTGTTATTTTTTTGTTTGTTTCTTCAGTGATGATATTAAAAAATAGAAAAAGATATGTAAACATCAAAAAATGTTTGAAAAAAAAAAAAAATTCACGGGGGATCGAACCCGGTCCTGCCGCGTGTGAAGCGGACGTCTTTCCCACTGAGCTACTAGGGCATCTCGTTTCTGGTGGATCTCTTTCCTTAGTAATAATTCAGCCGGTAAACTAAGTTGAAAAGTTTTCTGTCGATTTTTCTCTAGCAAAAGCACTCCCGGGTCGAAGTCGGGAAGCACCACGCTTTGGGGACATTCGCACCTAGTAAAGAAATCGTACGCGTGCAAATTCAACTCGAAGCAGACACGTCGTGCTTGACGTTTGCTCGAGCGTTGTCTTCAGCCACGAGAAGGGAGCGACGGCTCGGCGACGTCTTCGTGCAAATCGGCTTGGTGGCCGGGCGTGTCGTACGGGATGAATACCAATTCTTTTGATCAGTCCCAAATTTCTCTTTTAACGGTAGACAGAATTCGCCGGTACCCCCGCGAACGACAGTTCTGAAATAGAGGTCCCACGCCCGTCGTCCGCTGCCATCGCCGTCCCCGCGAGTCCCACGATACGCGAAACGACGAACGCACAGAATGCTTCCGGTTGTCTGTGGAACTTTTTTTTTCGATCAACGTATTTACAGCTTTTTAGAAGCCACAAAAAATGGGTTTCATATTTTTTTCTATTTTTAATATTGAGTGTGTGCCTTCAGTGACCCACGACTTTGATTAAATTTGGTGGTCGCATCGATACCTTAGAAAACGGCCCGTGACCGCGAAAAAGAGAGTGAGCGAGACTCGAACCGGCCAATTCTTGATCGGCGGTTTTCGGGCGGAAAGAAACCGAATTTCGAGCCGCAAATTCTGTTCTGTGTAGTTGAGCTCTCATATGTCACGTACAACTAAAAACCTCGGCGAGCATAAATACCCTGTCAGTGTCCCTTTAAAGCTATTTTCAATCTTCCCACAGACTCGTGCTACTTGACAGAACATATTGTATAGGTTGTGGCCCCCTAATATTTACAGAGTGACCAATAAGCGTGAATATATTACAACAGGGCTTCCCAGACTCTGCTATCCATCAAAAACATAAAATACTGTATCACAAACCCAACACATCCCTGTTTTTTGACAATGCCACAATTTTTCGATTTCAGTGCAAACAAAAAATTGACGCTGAGATTTTTTTTTGACAGTTAATATAATCAGTGAATCAGCTGGGATAGAAACCACTGCAAAAAGGAAAATGCATGCCAGCAAGGAATGGCTGTTCCTAATTAATAAAGTGAGCATGTTCGTTAGAGCACAATTTTTCGAAATGAGGGCGGAGTATGGGTGCTGCATCTCTCAGTTACGGCTCGAAGTTGAGCTGCGACTCATACTTTCACAGGCACAACCGAAAAAAATCTAAGTTCACGTTTTTTTTTCAAGTGTCTGAGCCACTTTGTGACCCCATGGTTGCAACTAACAGATTTGGAAAAACTGTACTAAGCAAGTGCATAAAAAAGCTATGTATGTCACTGTAGCGCGTAGAGTATTCAGGCAGTGGAAGTGACAATGCATTTGAGGCATGCCCAACTGTTCTTAACGTCACATGCGTGCATACTTCATCTGAAGACGATCAGCTATGAACTAGAGTTGTAGGCAAGCTTTTGGGAGGATGCCTCCCTGCAGTAAAATCTCATGCATGAAAAGGCAAGCCTGGAAACAAGAACAGAACATTGGTTAGGACTGTCTGGCAACCACAGTTACCAGACGTCACAAAATGTGTCACATGCAGATTCAGGTCCTGACAGCCAGGCATCACTGGTTACATTGCTAAAGCTTTTAATATACAGCGTGAAAACCAACCCTTCCAAAACACTTCAGATGGCTTGCAAAAGTCGGTTTTTCGATGTATCATGCTGCAGTTTACAACAAAGATGCAACAAGTTAACAGTGAAAAAAAAAAATCAAGGAGCAATTTTACCACAAAACACAAACCTGTCCTGGGCAATCTATGCCGCCGGCGCTTCCTCAATGCGGCCTATGCCACCTGTCGGCAGCACTTCTCTCTATGCGTGCATCGTTTGCAAAGTGATGGCGTAAACTGCTCAGAAAGTTTTTTTTTTAAACGGGTAAGTATGTTTTTTATTTTTTCACTGAACTTTCACCCCCTGCTTGCACCTCTGTAGTAAATTGCAGCGCAATACGTTGAGAGACCCAATTTTTGCAGGCCATCCAAGGTGCCTTAGAAACGTTGGTTTACATGATGTAGAATAATGAGTTGCTCAAAAAGCAAGCACCGTTACACAGGGACAAGGCTGCCGGTATACACAAAGTGGTGCCTTAAAGGAGTTCACGAAACAAAGGGGACACTGCAACAGTCTCATACATTGCCCCAACTCAACATCCATTACTGCTTCTGGACCGCAGTGCGAATGATAAAAAATGATGAGTACTGTGTGTGCACGAATATAAAGCAAAGCAAGTTTTAAAGCCCCTAAAAAGAAAAATGTTATTACTATTATAATGTGACCTTTAAGTTACTGCACTCTAGGGCATAGCAGAAGTGATGAGGGGACGAAAATCGGGAAATAATGTCTATGTTTTGACTGCACTCATCACTGCTCAGCTCCTTCCCACTGTCGCATCCGCGATTTCGGAGAGACGCTTCTCTCATAGGTGTTCTTTTTTTTTTCTTCAGAGAGCTTTTTGTTTGCAAGTTCTCTTGAACCGCGGCACATTGTGTCAAGTCGGTTGGTTTACGAAGTGCATTAACCTCTGCTGCGCTGTCCTCGCACAACGTAGCAGAGGCTGGTTGCACTATTTCTCCACGGGGCGTGGTACTGTCGGTGCCGAGAAGCGCTAAGATTTCAAACTGAAACTTAAAAACCCATTGAAGTTGTACAATTTTTCAGAAAGCCGTAAAATGCTGCGCGTGCCCCCCCCCCCCCCCCCCCCCCCCCCCCCCCCCCCCCGTTTAAACGCAAAACATAGAAAAAAATATTTTAATTTTTTTTAAGCATCAATACAGCGATGCTACCTTACCTATTTTCTTGCGCTACAACTCCGCAACAATTGTCCCGTTGCGAATGCAATATCACTCCAAAAAGTCCGAAGCCTACTGCAATAAAGTGTCCGGCGAGTGTGCAATGGTCTAGGCGAAGAGATCCTGGAGCAATCTGGCTCAACGAAATGCAAAAACCATTAGTGCGAATCATGCTTACGGAGCGGTGCATAAGACCCAGGCAGCAAACAGGCAAGACATTGGGGCAAGAAGAGGAAACAAGGGACGTTGCACAAGAGGACTCACCGTTGCCGTGGCGCCCGTAGTCCGACGGAGGGGCCACGGCCCCCGCTCATAATGTGGGGCGGGGGTGGCTCTGGAAGCCTGTCGGTCACGCTCGTGCTCATGAGATTGGGCCCCGGGCGGGCACCCACAAGGTGCTGGGCCATCGGGTTCTGGCCCATCGGAATCTGGGACATGGGCATCTGGGACATGGGAATCTGGGTCATGGGGACCTGGGACATGGAGACCTGGGTCACAGGATTCTGAGCTATAGGGTTTTGAACCATGGGGTGCTGAGCCATCGGGTTTTGAACCATCGGGTGCTGCGTCATTGGGTTTTGAACCATTGGGTGCTGTGCCATTGAGTTTTGAGCCATGGCATTCTTTGCAATGGGGTTCTGGATCATGTGAGGCATGGTATTCTGACCCATTGAAATCTGGGCCATGGAATTCTGTGCTAAGAAATTTTGGGCCATAGGATTTTGGGCAACAGAATTCTGTGCCACGGGATTCTGGGCCAGGAGGTTCTGGGCTGCTGGCATCTGGCTTATAGAGTGATGGGTCGCTGGATGGTGACCTGTGGAAAACAAAGGTGTGCGTGTTTGGGGGACAAAGATACAATGAGCTGTGATTAGATCTAGAGAGAAACATGCATGGAGAGGCCCATAAACATTTTATCAAAATCAAACCAACCAAGACCTACATTCTGCAAGTAGAAACTTTAAATTAGGGATTTATTAGTAGGAGAAATAAAAAAAATACTACTAGAATAAAAAATTTATACCAATTACAGTGATGTGATTGGCCTAAGCCGTTTTGGAGCACCTTTTGGAGCAGCCAAAACTGTGTTTTGGAGCAGCAAAAGTGGCCTTTGGAGCACCCAAAACAGTGTTTCGGAGCAGCAAAAAGTGGTTTTTGGTGCAAATTTTTTTTATAAAAATAAAAAAAAAATATTTGTTTTAAGTGCTGGACAAAGGAAGGCACTTTGCTCGCCACAATAATCAAATTATGGTCAAGTTAGACGACCTGGGAGTCTTTCAAGTTGTTAACTGAAATGGCAATGACACAACATTTTTTTGCAATGCTTCAGTTAAATGACATATGTATATGTACCCGCTATAGATAAATAAGAACCAAAATGCACACACTAAATTTATTTGAAAATGACCAGCTTAGCAGTAAATATGAAAGCATAAACTTCACTGGTTATATAATATAATAAATTGAACCAATATCCAACTGATGAAACACATAACTACAGCAATGCAATACGAAACTGTTCACATGAAAAAGGTGCAGTGCGACTGGTGGGTGCTTTTCCTTTTGCTTGTTGAAACTTTCTGCAAGGCTGCCGCACACCTCGCTTAGCTTTCGGCAAGTAATGAATGTCCACTTTCGATGTCTCCAAAGAGACGTTGAGACATCCCACAAGTGTACAGTGCAGTAGGCGTTGCCGAGCAATTTCAAAACGTCTCCCACCGTTTTACTGGTTCCCGACATGCCAGATTTTCGTCAGAAGCAAGCAAATGTAAAGCAATAGATTGCAAGCGTCCCGGCTGGTACCTCTGTCGTGCAATCATGTTCGCATGCACGTGAGGGCAACTTCGGCAGCTTGCAGTTGCACGCGCTACGTTATGCGAGCGGAGACGGCTGTTCGATCGAAACCGAAACTCTGCCACTCCGCTCCGTCGCCATCTGGTCCCCAAAATTGTATGCAAAATGTAACAATCCAGAATAAAAAAAAAAAAAAGGAAAACTGTCCAGCGGCGCGTGCTTGCCAGGCCAGTATGCGAGGCACAAGCTACCGTATTTGCACGAATATAACGCGAGTTTTTTTTCGAAATTACGTGCTCCAAAACGCACCTCGCGTTATATTCGGAATCGAGTTCAGCCACGAGGCGCGCGAGTCTGGAGAAAGCCAGAGGAGAAAGACATCCCTCCGGCTCAATGCAAAATATCCGGTGGGAAAAGAAGTGGGGGTGTGGAAGGGAATTTATTAGCTATTGGGCCACGTGAAGGGGAGAATAGAAAACATAAAAAAGCATTGTTATCGCTTTTGTGTTTGTTAAACGCGCGCACGCCGCAGAAACTCGGCGCGCACGCGCGTCATGCGGGAATGCGGGCACTGGCCAATTCGAGCCAAGCCAAGCCGGGCCGAGTCAAGTCAACACATGCCAAGCCAAGACCACCAACCGCGTTTACGCAATCGTGGAACACGAGGCATTTGTTTATGCAGAGGGACCAGAAGAAGAAGTGTGATCGTGTATCGGATTCAGTAGTCTTTTTTTCTGCCTGCACATTGTTTAGTTTCTGCTCCAGAATGATCTGGTGTTTGTGTGTTGGTGCTTCTGCTTCGTGCCTTGTTTGGATTGTGGGCTGCTGAGGAACTCGCAAGAAAAGAGAACTACCAGACAAGCAGGTGCCGTGCTGCTGCTTATCTGCGTAGTCGCCAAGTGGATTGTAAACGGAAGGACCTGAACTGTGAGGATGAGTGTAGTCAAAACATAAACTGATATTTATTCTATTTCCATTGACTTTTCACATCTGCTATGCCCCCGAGTGCGAGAAATTGACGCGGCCTCCATTCGCGTTATAATAGTAATAATATTTTTTTTTTTTTTTTGAGGGCATCAAAACCTGCCCTCGCGTTATATTCGTGGTCGTGTTATATTCGTGCAAATACGGTAAGTTAAAAGGTTAAAAAGTGCAAACAAAACAAGGACAATAAAGCTAATAAAAAAAAATAAGAACCTGAGCGCATCAATGCAAGACATTGCGAGTCAGGGTCAAAAAGTTCTTGGAGCGCTTTGTGCAACAACTGAACTCAAGATAAACAAGCGGGCTGTGTGGGTTCAGCGTGCAGGCATTGCCTTTTGTTGCCTTAGCTAACTTGTCTTAAACTTTCTTTTGTGACAGACTTTTCACGTACCGGTGTCCATCTCAAAAGAAATCCGACAGAGAGAAACCTAGGTAAACAGTACTTCGACACAGCAGCCTTTGAGCTAGAGGGATGTTTGTAATACCGTTTAATTTAAACAAGGACAAGATTGCCGATTACCCTGCAGCGGTCCTTACGTTTCATTTTAGAAAGCGCCATATCTGCAGCAATGTGTGGACGGGAACACCCGACGTCATAACCACGGCAACTGGCAGGCGGGGACCAAGGATAGTTTTGCCACAGCCGTTTCTTTTAGAAGCGAGTGCTTCAGACCACAAGTAACTCCCAATGCGCAAAAACATGGTTTCGTTTTACAACATGACGGCATGGCTGGTACGCTTGCATCTATCGTTAAAATATTTCCAAGAGGATGCGAGACGAGACCCACAAGAGCGCGAAATGAGGAACGGCGGGAAAAACCATGCTAGACCGGATGGACGATTGATACAGCCTACTTTCTGTCGGGCGGTCGCTTGCGCCACCTAGTTCACGCATGCTCAATTACGGTACTCAGTTTAGTTTCGGTTTTGAAAGGCGACCGAAATTGGTCCTTTGGCGCAGGCTTGGCGCAGATTACTGATATTTCGGCGAAATGTAGAAGGATGTAGCAGGGTTAGCCCCTTGGCGCAGTTTGGCGCAATTGGCGCAGCAATCACATCACTGCAATTATTTTTGTACAGCCTATTCATAGCCACGAACCTAACCCCTAAGGTAGCCTGCCAAGAATAAACTTCAAGAATTGCTCAAATACCAGACAGTGCTTAAAAATATCCCCCGGCTCCTACTACCCTAACATCCCATAAGAACTGCCACCTGCGGTGAAAATATTGGGTAGATGATTATCGGAAATGCCACAGCAAGCTTTTTAATAAAAATGAGCTATAAACACAAGGGCACCATCAATTGCATGACATAGGAACTGACACCGCAGATTGTGGGTGCATCAAACTTTCCTTTCACAATACGATAAACACACGGGAAGTCTATACAGTCAAATATTGGTTTAAACATCAAATTGAAAAACCTTTAAATTTATGAAAATATTTCCTTTTAAATTTTTTTATGGTTTAAATGAAAATTTTTTTTTTGTAGTATGAACTTGAAAACACAATATTTCAGAACATACATAATTTGACTGCTCTTGTATGTAGTAAACACCTCAATACAGTCAAACCTGTATACAACGAACAGCAGGAAATGCTACAATCAGTTCGATACAGCAAAAACCATTTACAACAAACTTGCACAATGTGTTCGTTGTAAGGCGAGAGCTTCTCTTTCTTTCTCATCTCTTCGCTTTCACATAGTAAGAACGCGCTAGAAAGTTTTTTAATTTTCTTTTTTTTTTGCATGCGTGCAGTTTGTTTTTTTAGCTTATCCCCTCTTCTAAATGACTTCTCTTTGTAAGCAACAGTTTTAAAATCAAAAGATTTTTTTTTTAATTTTTTTGTGTTTGTGTGCAGAGTGCATTTTGGAATGTACCCATGGTGTGCTGACTCATGGGATGCACCATGCCCACTTGGGGCTGGCTCGCCAGGCTGGGTGGCGGTGTCATTTGGGAAGGTGGCAAGGCACCTTGGTGTCCCGTGCCAGGGTGGCTGGACCCGTGGTGGCCGTGTGCAGGCAGCGTGGAGTAGCCGCTCCCTGCGTCGGAAAGAAGCCCAAAAGGGCATGAAGGGGAGGACGGAGGGCGCGATGCAACCCCGGGCCAGCCAGCGAGACACTGACCCCTGCGAGGATGACCCAGAGGGTAGTTGGCCGCATAGTTACTGGGCACCTGCGGGGGCGCGATGGGGGGCGCAGGGGTGCGGTACTCCCGGGAGGTCCGCGTCAGCGACCCCACCGTCACGCCCCTGTTGGCCTGCGGAGGCGTCGGGGGCTTGGTGGTGGGCGCGGGGCCCGCGTTGATCAACGCCTGCAGCAAGAATGAGCCATAAGCGTGCGGCACAAAATGCGGCATGTGCATGCGTGTCCAAAGCCAGACATGTACCTCGCCAGGCGGTGTACCTTTCCTTAGTCTTCATACGCTGCAACGGGCAGTCAATCAAGGGGTATGTGTGCCTTTTGGTAAAATAGTTGTTAATCTGATGGCATGAAATCTACTTCACTGTTTCATACAAAGCATATAACACTGTAAAGGCTACTTGGAGGAACAGGTGGCTTCATTTCGAGTTTCCTTCTCACGAGGACACGTGCAAATGAGACGCGACACAGGGCCTTGAGCTCACGTGAGTGCCTTTGACGGCACTGTACTCTACAAGGCCGGTCATCTTTCTCGGCTGGGAAGTGTCACTGGCAGTCAGATACGAGAGGCAAGATGCAGGTCGATCTGCAAACTTTCACTCTTCTTTTACTTGATCAGCCTCACTCCTGGATTCCTACTGCCACAAAGTTAATCAGTGATTGAAAGGTAACATAGTCTGCTTGTTCACAGTGTTGTTTTTACGAACAAGGTTTCACTAACCCTGCCCCCCTTTTCTCAGCAACCTCCACAGAGCTTACGAGGTACAATAAATATTACCACTGACTTATCAAGTTCCCTCTCCAGCTTGCCCCAGAACAAAGTCGTCTGGATTAGACATTCCACCCAAGTGCAATGGAGGTGCAATAGCTATAGTACGCGATTCCTGCCCCACTATGCCACAAAGGGAGGAAAAGTGAAGAGAGAGGGGAGAGGAGGGTGCGAGCCCTCAGCTTTCCTCCCCGCACTCTGTGTGGCTCCGAGCCACTGGTCGCGTGCGTTACAACATAAAACCAACAGCTGCACCTGTGCCCCGTTGCAGACACCCTCTCCCACGATCTTGCTAAAGTGCAACCAGTACAAGCAAGCAAGGTCTGTGTAGGGTTGCCATATTCGCATCTCCGACGGCACGCATTTAAGCTCCTTCTTCTGTCGCACGTCTCAGCCGCCTGACAACGTCAGTTTTTACTGCATACTTGAACGGGCAGTAGCTCCCACTACTCTCCTTTGCGTTTTTTCCGCCGGGTGGTGTCACCTCCCCTGGAGTGGCAAATATAGCCATCACTTTAAAATAGCAGCCTCCACCGACCGACATGCACATTAATCACAGAAACCTCGTCCTCTCCCCCTGGTCGTTATAACATACTAAATCCCGAGAGCTGTGCCCGAGGCATCACATTTGTCCTTTTTTTGCCTCCGTCTCGGGTTTTAGTTCGTCGTCGGCCGAGGGTACCCCCTGCACAGGGACGGCATGGCCCCACCTGGGAAGAGGGCACCCGGCGAGCCTTGGCGGCGGCCCCATTGCCCGAAGAGCTGGCCTTGAGCCCGTAGCCCACGTCATCCAGCAGAGTGTAGTCGATGGGACGGCGGATGTACTTGACCGGCCGCTCCTGGCTGGCCGGGGCCAGGATCTTGTGCTGGCGCAGGGTGCTCTTGTTGGCCGTGAGCACCCCAATCTCCCGCCGGGCCACCTTCTCCTTGTGGATCATCACCGTTTGGCCGATGTGGTTCATGTGCGACTCCATCTCCGACAGCTGGGCCGTCTGCAGGTCCAGCAGGTGCAGCAGGTTGTAGGCCAGCGTGTTGATCTGGTACGCCACGCTTGCCAGGGACTGCGTCGCATACTTCTTGGTCTCCTCCAACGCTGCATGCTTGTTCTCCGCCTGCGACGAGGGTCAAGCGGAGTGGGTGATGACGTTGACATGCAAGCAAGCAGCCTCGATTTGTGAATACGACTTAGAAGACAGGGCCCTTTCCCTCTCCAACTTCGCTGCTGGCGGGTCCACGCAGTGCCATCTATCTTGCAAGCGTGTCTTCCAACTTCTCGCAAAGAATGCAATGCTGGCACATGGCAACACTGGGACGCACGTGTCGGCCACTTCGCCTCATACTCTTGTCGAGCTTGGATGAGAGTATGCGGCAATTTTGTGTTTGCCACTAGTGTTCCATATCTACAAGTACAGACAAAGCGAGAACAGCAGGGGGGAGCTTCAGTTGTTGTATCTCCATAACGGGCGTCACACCTTCGACACACTTTGGTGCCCAGTGTGCCACGTGCGAGTAACCAAAGCTTGCCAGAAGGCAGCGAGCACGCACTGGAGACCGGGCGTTCAAAACAGATTCCCTCTTGTTCTCACCTTGACAATGATTACAATGTGAAATTACTGTGCACAGTATTTAAGTATTTATTGAATGAAGGTCATTCTACAATGTCTTTTAACTTGAAACGATAAACTTGATTTCACTGGTTGTTTGTGCATAATCCACACGAGGAAAATCAGCGAAAGGAATATTCCGAATGTTTGCCCCATCACGCACACATAAAATGGCATGTGCACACCAGATTACAGTAATAGCCCTAGAGGCACCCCACCCCTGAAAGATAATCAACTATTATTTTTTGCCCGATTTGCTATTGCTTCTTAAAAACCAAAAAATAGCCTACTTCAAAAAATCATAGTAACAGTCGAGCCCACTTATAACGGCCGCAGATATAACGAACGCTCGCTTAGTACGAACAAGGGTGGTGCTACCGTCAAAATATACATTGGGGCAATGGCACAGTGTCTCACATAGAGCGAACTGTTGCGGCCTTACCACTCGGTTAGAGCGAACGCGAAGCTGTCGGGCCCCCGTAGTTGACCGAGCCGGCGGTGCTTGGCGCGGTTTCGCTCGACTGCGAACCCGCGGCAGACGAACTTCGCCCACGGAGCATCCCCCGGACGCTCCTTTGCGGAGAAAATAAAGAAAAAAAGAAAAAGCGCGCGTTGAAAAATGAAAACGAAAAAGCGCGCGCGCGCGGTGACGAAAGAGGAAGTGGCGCCGCCCGCGTCGTCGGGATGCATCCACGTGATCTGCGTCGACCAATCCGGAAAGTTCGGCGCCTGCTTTACCGGCCCAAACCGGTTCTCCATTTGTTGCTGCTCCGTTGCCACCCCGGACCGCGGACCCGCGGATATTGAGCCAATTGAGCCGTCGATTCTTTCTGTGCGATGGCACTGCGTTGACATCGTTGCCGCATTCGTGCTCTTCCCAGATCGGGGATTTGAAGGTTGCCTCAACGCGCGAGTCCAAGGGCTTGACTTCCGCCTGGTGCGATGGCGGACTGTATGCCGACCTCTTCAGGTGCTAAAAGGAAAGCAGTCGACATTGCAACGAAGATGGCCATTGTTAATGAACTTGCTCAAGGTGCAAAAAACGGCGATTTGGTCAAGAAGTACGGACTGTCGAAATCGACCATTTCGACCATTGCTAAGGACAAGGAAAAGATTCTTGGTGCTACCGTGAATGCCAACCCGACAAGAAAGCGCCTTCGGAAGGCGACCTACGCGGACGTTGAGGACGCACTGCTGAAGTGGTTCGCAGACGCCCGGTCTCGCAACGTTCCGATCAGTGGACCGCTGATGCTCTCCAAGGCTAAAGACTTCGCCTTCCTTTTGGACTTTCCCGATTTCAGCCCAGGCAATGGATGGCTCCACCGGTTTAAGGCTCGCCACGGAATTGTTTTCAAGGCGGTCGTCGGCGAGGCCGCGTCTGTGAACGAGGACGTCGATGCATGGCTTTTCGACAACCTCCCAACAATTGCGAGCTATGCTCCACGGGACGTTTACAATGCCGACGAGACTGCGTTGTTTTATCAGATGTTGCCATCTAAAACGCATGCCTTGAAAGGCGACAACTGCGCGGGAGGTAAGAACAGCAAGTTGCGGATAACCGTTCTTCTCTGTGCCAATATGGACGGCAGTGACCGGCGGCTACCTTTTGTTATTGGCAAGTCACGTAAGCCGCGATGCTTTGGAAGCTACGTGCCCGTACGCTACAGGAACAATACGAAAGCCTGGATGAGCCGCGACTTATTCGCCGAGTGGCTTGTCGAGTTTGACCGCGACATGGCACGAAAAAACAGGAAGGTCCTGCTCGTGCTGGATAACTGTGCGGCACACCATGTGCAGCTTTCCTTGAGTGCGGTGACAGTACTCTTCTTGCCTCCCAATGCAACCTGCAAAATTCAGCCCCCTGGATATGGGCATTATTCATGCGTTCAAGGTGTGCTACCGGCGGCGCGTCATCCAACGCTTGTTGATCGCAATTGATCGGCCAGATGCCGCCATGCCGGTTCGCATCAGCTTGCTTGCCGCCGTGGAGATGTTGAAGGCGGCGTGGATGGAACTCACCGCGGAGTGCATAGCAAATTGCTTCCGCAAGGCGGGTTTTATGGGCCCAGGCACCGAGGACGCCATAGATCACCCACAGGAAGGCCGGTCGCACGAGGACTTGTGGCAACGCGTCGTTGACACGCAGCTGGCCGGACCTGACGTTGCCTGGGACGATTTCGTTTCTGCTGATGACGACGCCGACATCGCGGAGCCGTGCACTGACGAAGCTATTGTGCGTGAAGTGCGAGCCCTTCCCGACTGCCCAGAGACCGACGAGGACGATGACGAGGATGCTGCTCTACCGCCGGTTGCTGTGAACGCTTCAACCGCGATCGGTTACATCGCGTCGCTCAAGGAACTCGTGTGCAGCAGAGGTCTTGGTGATGAACATATTACCGCGCTGGAAAAATTAGAAACGGCAGTGATGCGATCAGCTTTGAAGAAGGAGACTTGCATCATGGACTTTTTTCAAAAATAAAGTTAACTTTCTTCTCGCTTGCTCTTTTTGCCTGTATTATAGGTGGTCCACTTACTACGAACTTTGGATACAACGAACAAATTCCGCGTGGCGATCAAGTTCGTTATAAGTGGGCTCGACTGTATTTGGATCAATAATGGCCTCGGCGTAAATGCGGCTAGCTAGCTCTAGCAGGCTATAAGCGAACATTGCTGACTAGCAAGTACAGTCATCTTTGCTTCATTGCCCCTTGCCGCAATAAGTTTGGGAGGGACTTATAACCTAAAATCAGCATTTGTTCAACTTTTTTTGATTATACACCGCAAGTTTCAAATTGCACAACAAATTACGGAGGTCACGGTCGGTGCACGCAGACAACCCAGAAGTGAAATTAGGAGCAACGAGTGCAGGGGCCCACTTATATCAAGCCCCTTGCATTTAAGCTTTACGAAGCCTCCAACAGGGGGCACCAGTAGCACCGCGGGCCACACGGAGTGGTGTTCACGCTCACATTGATTGTGATGGTACTAAGAAGTACACTGCTGAACCGAAATGTGGATTCCCCAAAACACGCAGCAAAAGCGTGCAACGGGATGCTACAACCACCAAAACATCACTCATACAGCGATATCTCGAACGGATGACCGTATTTAAAAAAAAAAAGAGGTGCATTTGGCAGGAATGTTGACGTCATGTTTCTCCGAGAAGGAGGGGGAACGGCCTTGCGTCTTCTCCGCCTCGCGGCCTAGAAGGAGCGAAGCGAAGAGAGGAGGAAACTAGGTATCTTGACGTCACGCGCCTCGTCGGCCTGGTTCAATCTCGACTTCTTTTCCCAAAAATACGACCGTCCCTTTGAGATATCGCCTTACTAGTAGTGTTGCAGGGATTGTAGCGTCCCGCCTACATCTCCAGCATTGTTTTTTTGAAATCCAAATTTCGGTTCACCATCCCTTTAAAGGGGGACCCGCAGAAATATTCTTCAGCCTGGTGGAAAGTTCTTCTCGCCCTTTTTTTTGCCCTTTCCCTCTTGTCAAGCGGCATGGCGAGGCGGGGGTAAGGTCCCTTTTTGTACCTGCTTCTTCTGGGATGATAAGCCTAGGATAAGCAGGACTTTTGGCCCCTAGCAAAGCCTAGCCCTCCGGGTGGATGTTTTACAAAGCTGGAAGGCTGCGCCCTGGCAGTCACCCATTTGAGCTGTCAAAGTTGGTTGGCTGTAGCTTGTGGCAAAGCAAACGCTTACTGGAAAGCTGCGATGCATCCCCACACCAATTGAACATACTTTTTTTCATACTTATTCTCGATTTCTGAAATAAAGATTGCAGAATGCATGCGCGAGATGTGGTGCTTTCAATATGTATGATGATTAACGTGTTTCGAAAACATTAAGCATCCCCAAAATGCCAGCCTATCACGCTCATACCTGCCTCAAATGGGGATCTCTGCTTTCATAGAGCGCGCACAAATCATTGTGTGCCTAACTTGCAGGATATGATGGGCAACGAAATGTGGATGAAATTTATATCTACACACCCCAACAACCTCATGAGTTAAAAGGGCAGCAAGGGTGGGTGTCGATATTATAAAGTTTTAGTGGATCGTTTGTAGCTCTCCGAACCCCATAACGACATATAAGCTAGCCTTGCTGTCAGCATTCATTATCGAGCACGGATATCGGAGCGGACAACACAGTAAGGAGTTATTGAAGATTGTTTTCGCCATCCCGCAACGCTCTCCACAACCCGCTACGCTAGCCGGAACTCTACAGTCAAGGCTATCGGTGCGCAGACGCAGCAGCGGCTTCTTCGTCGCGGAGGGCTTAGCGGAGGGGAAAACGCGGTCTACGAAAGCTCTCTAATACAAGGGAGTTTTCGTTGATCGTTTCCGCTGTGCCGCAACGTTTTCTACAGCCCGCTACAAGATCCGAGACTCTGCAGGCAAGGCTAGCGCCGCGCATGTGCAGTAGTGGCGTCTTTGTTCCAGAGAGCGTAGCAGGGGTGGAAAAACTGTTTACGAAGACTCCCTATTAAAGCCCCTATTGAGGAGTATAGCATGTCATGTTATCAATCAAACTTGCTTGTTTCAGTACAGGCTGCCACTTCAAAGTAATCTTCGAAGCGTTCAAGAAACTTTCGTTTGTGGCCAATGAAGTGTCATGCCCAATTAGTGTTTACTCATGCAGCAAATACAATGCGAGCCGCCCTGGCTGCCCACTTCATACAGCCTATCCAGGACATGCTTTAGTGGCACCCTCTCAAGCCGTCGACACAGAGTGCGGCCCCCAGCCGCGACTGCTTGCTCAGCTCACTACCCCTCCTCTAGTTCACGGCCACTCAAGCAACCAAGGAAGTCATGAAGATGGCTATCTTTTGCTTGTTTCTGTAATTTTAATTTGCCTACAACTTTTAAAATAAAGTGAAATTCGAGAAAACAAAAGTTCTATTAAGTTGCTACGTTCAGTGCGTTCAGGTTCGGTGCAAATTAAGAACCAGTAAAAAAGTCCTTGCAGGGCCCCTTTAACTATATTTTAAATAATGAGCCCCAGAGAATTTGAAGTGGCAGCTCGTGCTATAGCACTGATACAAGCAATGTTGAACGATAAAAGTACACATTAAGCACATTATGTGCTTGTTAGGAGCTGTAAATATAAATTTCATCCTCTTGCTGTCCTTTCAACTCATGCGCAGTTGTTAGGATGTGTAATTATAATTTTCATTAACATTTCGGTTGGCCATCATATCCTGCGAGTTAGGCGCACAATAATTTGAGCGCACTGTATGAAAACAGAGATCTGCTAAGATGCCCGTGCATGGTACACATATATCTTTTCCATCGTTCCCCATTTGAGGCAGGTTTGAACGTCATAGGCTGGCTTTATGAGGATGCTGAATGTTTCATGAACATGTAAATCATGCTGACATATTGAAACCACCACATCAGGTGCATGCATTCTGCACTCCAGAAGCTGATAAGTATGAAAAGTATGTTCAATTGGTGTGGGGATGCACCGCAGCTTTCTATACTCCGTTCCACCTTCAGTCTGATCGCAGTGGATGCCACGAGCTATCCCAGCCGATCCAGAGCCGGGAGAGAATCGCGTGACCTGCCGGTTGGGCCGAGCACCACAGAGAGCTTAAGGTCCAAGACTCTCTCTCAACGCTGGATTGACTGGGATGGCTCCTTGCGTCCGTTGCCCTCGGACTGACGGTGAAACGGAGCATAGTAATCGTTTACTTTGCCACAGACTACAGCCAAACAACCTTGACAGCTCAAATGGGTGACTGCCAGAGTGCGCCCTTGCAACTTTGTAAAACGTCCACCCAAAGGGATAGGCTTCGCGAGGGCCCAAAAATCCCTCTCATACTCTCAGAAGAAGCCGGCACAAAAGGGGACCTTCCCACCCGCCTCGCCATGCAGCTAGACAAGAAGAAAGGGGAAAAAAAGAGGGCGAGGAGGTCTTTCCGCCAGGTGGCAAAATATTTTTGCAGGTCCCCCTTTAATACGAACGTTCACCAGCGTTGTTGGAGATCTTAACGTAATGGGCGAAGCTTCAGTGAAAATTCACTACCTGAAAGTAGTTTGCTTCACAGTACTCTGCAACTTTCTCCAAGTTTGTGTGACTGTCGTGAATGTTTTGTCGTCCGTCCGGTATTTCATGTTGAATCAGGGTCATCAGGTCAGCCATGACAGATGGCATTTCAAAAGCACCTGGTTGAGAAACAAGAAAGCGAAGGGGGGACAAAATCACACGTCTGAGATGCAGCCCTCCGCACTGCTTGGGTAACTAAAAGAAACACCCGAATAAATCAAAACACTCAACGGAATCAGGCACAGATTTTCATGCAATGAACCGTGCGCAAATCAGATGTATTAATGTGTGGTCTTATCGTATCATGGCTCAAAAGGTTGCTCTCGGAACAAGATCGGAGCCAGTAGAAAAATCGGGTTTAGTGTGTTAGTAACGAAAAATAGCAGAAAATTTGCAACAAGTCAAACCTCTGTGGTTGTGCTGGCTCGCTTCCTCCCAGTTGTTTTCCGACACAGATTTCTCACTCGCACGCCCGTACATAACGCAAAATCACTCAAGCCGAAACGTTTGATAAGGCCGCAGACTAGGCCTAAACAAACTGCAATCAAAAGTAAAGAAAAGTAAAAGTGAGCGTCTCAGACACAACCGGACAATTCGCAGCAAATAAACACGTACCGAAGGTTTCGAACTTACGAAATAAACACTGATACTCACTTGGTAACCAGGTTGCTGGAAGCAATTGCAAAAAATTCCTAACACCACAGCGGTTCCTGGGTGTGCCTCCTTTCGGAATCTCCCTGACGAAAGCGACAACGCTGAAATGGATCGTGTTGGATTATGGATTGCATTAAATAAACTTCAAAAACTGCAAGCCGTTAGAAAAAAGTGTTTTTTAAAGTTTTTTAAGTGTGAATTATATTATATTTGCTAAATTTATTAAATTTTATGTAATTTTTTTAAAGCTATGTTCGTTTGTGATTTTTGAAACCATCACATTCGATCACATGTCTCGGCCGATCTCGGCAGCGAAGCTAGCGAACCGATGTATGCTTGGCGGCTGGAAATGGAGGAGGTGTTGCAGCAGTTGCAGTGGTTGCAGTTTATGTGTTGACAAGAAATTTCACCTCCGCGCTGCTTTTCCCGAGGTGAGCACTCTAATTGCGCTGAGTCCACGTTCTGATTCATGGTCGTACAGTGTAGCTAAGAGGAAACGTCCTGTTACTAGACGATTGACGCTTCAGTCGTCAAGTCCAAACATGGGCAATCGGTGTTCGCGCATGCCCGAACCATGTTTTGTAGCGTGCGCAGCACATTTAGTTGCCGATGGCGTTCCATGGAATGTCCGGAATGTGACGTACATATTGCCAAAGGCTTCGATCGTTTCGTGACACTACCGTAGAGAAGCACAGATTTGTATGGTTCGGAGTCTCTGCTCTCTGTTCGCCCTCTTTCCTCCGAAGCTAGTGGGCAAAGGGCTGCCCACTTCGGATTGTCTAGTGGCAAGGCCGCAAGGAGAGTTACCCTATTTCTATCTCTTGTATTTTGAAAACAGCTGTGCCACATGTTCTACTCCATCTCCCATATGAGTGCGTTTACAATGTTATCAAGGTCACGGGAGTTATTGGGAAAAGCGGGGGGGGGGGGGGGGGTTCAAGGTGCTCTGTTTGCACACGCAGTCGCCTAAGGAAAGTGCCTCCTAAGGTGACGTGTTCATGCCCGTGGAGAGTTTGCTCGTGATTTCTTATGCTTTGGATTTTCACCAGGGAGAGCAAGACCAATGGAACATGGCAGAAGCTAAAGGGACCGACCAGAAGTATGACGTGGGTGAGTGAATGAGAACTGAACGACCAAGTGCGTACGCAGGCCACCTGGTGAATCAGAAACATAACTAAAACCTGAAAGCAAGGGGCAGAAGCCTCGGTGGCAATCAGTTTGTCGTGCGATGTTTCATCGACAGATTGTTTTATCCACAAATCGTTTCATCGACAGCTCAGATTAGCTTTTTTCAGTAATAAACTGCATCAGACTGTCACCCCGAAGGAACGTGTACAGGTGCTCCAGGTGGGTTAACATTTTGTAATGAGCCGCCACAAACTGCTGCCATGAACAGTCATAAACAAGGGCTTGGGGGGATGGGTTGACATGCACCCCAGCGATACATGCGCAGTGAAATGTCCCTACAGCATGAATTTTGCGTAACGGGTGTCGACGAAACGTGTGTCCATGAAAAGTTTTCCACGGAACATAATTCCACGAAATGAGTTTCGACAAGAAACTATAGGGACCCCAGAAGCCTCTTGGGACTGCTTACGACCGGCTGCACAGCAGTGCAGTCAGTCGTAAGCGGTCACAAGAGAAGCCTATTTTAGCACACTCGGTTGCAACCAAACACAAGTGTGTAAAAACTAACCTTCAGTTCACCAACAACAAGAACTTCAGACCAGCAGCTAGCATTTCGTCCAGACGTAATAATTGCTTCCAGTAGATTTTCGTGCAGGCAGAATGATTCCAGTTTAACGGCTCAGTTTTGTCTTTGGTCATGGACAGAATTCAAGAAGGCATGACTGCTGCAAAGCTTTAAGGATGTTGAGCCTACCGTAAAATACCGGGAAAGCACCCGTCCCACTTTCACTGAAAACTGGGTTAATCCAGACATGAGCACTTGTCCGGTTGAGTCGGTAAAAACCAAGATGGCGTCCCGCAAGGTGCGGTATTATCCCCAACGCTATTTAACATTGTAATGGCCCCACTGCTGTGGAAATTACACGATATACCGGAGCTGAAGGCAACAATATATGCAGACGACATCACCGTATGGACAAACACAGGAGGATCCAAGGAACAAAAACAAACAATACAGAAAGGACTTGACACCATTTGCGACTACCTGAAAAAGGTCGGACTGGCGCCATCACCAGAAAAAAAACGAAATACACAATTTTAGGGAACGACTATCAGAGAATTGACCTAGACCTCGTCTTTGACGGACAACGAATCGACAAGGAAGCAGAAGTCAAGCTGCTTGGTGTGCACTTTGGAAACGGCACGCACGTGGCAAACAATTGGCTAAACACTATCACACGAATGTGGAAACAAGGCTTGCAGCTTATCCGGCGCATATCCCATAGAATGGGTGGTGCGGGAGAGAAAACCGCCAAGACTCTAGTACAGTCAGTCCTCGTATCCAAGATAATGTACGGTGTTCGGTTCTATAAGCTCACTAACCGACACAAGAAAAAGCTTGACTCGTTATACAACGATGCACGGAGAGCCATACTTGGACTGCCAAGATTTGTCAACGTTGAAGCAACTAAGCAGTGCGTACAGCTCGCCGATTGGAGACTAGACCTCGAGAAACAAGTCGCCACACACAACGCTCGACTGAAACACACAGAGCATGGCAGAAAGATAGCCAAGCTTCTCAACCCAGAGGGCAAGAATGATGCAGGGGACATCCCACCACCCGCACCCCATGGGACCTCATCGACCTCACACAGTCCCAGCCAATCCCGCGCAACATGGACGCGCAGAAACACGCTAAACGAAGGGAACACTACGCCCGAAAACACGCAGTCGAAGTTCAAACGTTACTGGCGGACCCGTCCATCACTGTCACGTACACTGACGCGGCGATGAAAATCGCCGGCCCAGAGACTGCTACGACAGCCGCTGCCATCTTCTATTCTACAGACAACCCAATGGGGACATCGATCTCAACCACAATCCAACCACAAGGAACCGATCCTTACTTTCCCGAACTCGCCGAAGCCAAGGCAGTGCTCTTCGCGATAGAGAGCCACTTAAAACACCCAGACGTGACACAAAGACAGCACGACGCAAATCAACTATACATATTTACGGACTCGCAGCACGTCATCCGAGAATGCAAAAGACACGGAGCCACGCCGTGCAGAACCATCAAACGCATTTACCACACGGCTCTGCACCTATTCCGTGTACACCAAACAAAGGTCTGCATCCGACGGATCCCGGGACACACGGCCATCCACGGCAACGAGGTGGCGCATTACGCAGCCGCGAGGGAGCTAAACAGTCCTCACCCCTCGCGTGTCGACGGAGAATCCGACCGCTCATCGACTAACAGTGAAACTGCCGATACAACATACGACCCGGTTGAAGCTCTGCGAATGCACAAAAAAGAATGGAAGCACCGACTAAAAGAATCCTGGAACCCCGAACCAAATCCCATTCCACCGAACCACTTCAAACGCAAGGAAATGGTGATGTTACGACGAATTCGTACGGTTGGCGCAACAATACCATATAAGACTCAAAAATTCGAGATCATCAAGAAGCGCAAGCTGAACCCTGATTATGAACCCCCCGGCCAAAGATGTCAATTATGCAAAGGAGACGGCACACTCCTAAAACTTTACCACCTGATTCGGGAATGTGAGGCCCTCGCCACACACAGAAGCGATGCTTGGGCCCAGCTGGGTCAAGACACTCCTACCTCCTACGAGGAGTGGATCAGACCGTTTGGCGACTCTGAAAGACGAGTCTGAATCTTACGGACACTGCTCGATTATACGATGTCGAGCAACCTAAGTCAGGACATTTAGAAGGGGGAGCTTTCTAAGGGGAAAGTCCCAAGAAAAAAGTCACGCGCAAGTGCAGCCACTCCTCTTTTTTTTTTATTAAACGTTTTACACACACACACACACACATTTTCACATGACATCCTCGTCATCGCCACTGGCAGTCTCGTGGCCGCCGCATCAGGGTGAATATTTTTGCCTGATGCTGGTGCTTCGGAGGGGTGGGAACTCAACACATAACTTGCAGAATTTTAAAGGTTTGCCAGTATGTAGATAACAAAATCTCGGTATACATTTGACGTCTTTATAAAGCAGCCTGTCACCACAAATTTGGATCAGCTAACCAAGGCTGGAGAGGTTAAGGAGAAGCTGCTCATTCCGTGGACTAAAATGGCTACCATACGAAGGCCTTGGCGTTTCTTTCTCAGGATCTAGTGACTTTAGTTTGGACTCCAGTGACTTTGGAGGGAAGTGTCCTAATCGACAAGCTGCATTAGCCGAGACAAGTGTGCGGCGGCACGCAACAGGACAGTGCATGGGTGCACAGCTGAGATGACAGCACGTCCTACACCCTGGTGACTGCGAAATTAAGTTTTTTACAGGAGCCACCGGAGGTCCAACCGAACCAAAATCAGAGATGCCGTAATGCCCGCCACGCAAGCCATCAAGCTCCTGGCTTGTTTTTGAACATTTTAAAGATTATATATATCGAAAGCAGCTTAAAGACGCCATGTTATTTATTTATTTTTTTAATGAGCCGCTATTAATTGGCATGGATCCAAACTGACGTGACCACTCCGTGCAATTACTTGGTGTGTCGTTTGCTCGAATGCACCCGCTACGTCGCAGGAGAGATCCCGCAAGGTGGCGCCACCGAAACATCTCGTCGCCAATAGTCATTGACGCAGTGTGAATGGTAGGGGGGAGTTTCAGTTATCCCGCTTCCAGTGCGGGCTGGAAGCAGAAGAGAAGAGTAGGGCTTTAAAAAAAAAAAAACACCCTTCTCTTCTCACCTTGTCAGTGACTATAGTCTTGGAGAGTTCCTAATATCCAAGCATGAACCAGACAGAGTTTTTCGGCGGTACACACCAGTTCTTTAGAGAGCACAAGTTGCACTTTATTTCTGATGGAAGTCAATTTATTCTTGCATATGTCTTGGGGACTTCCTCTAGATCATATATCCATGTAATAATATTAAAAAACAAAAATTATAAAAAACTGTTTTGTTGTTGCAGGAACCTCTGGCCAAACTTCATATAAATGATTTAGTGTAGCCACAATGCTTTGTCTCTGTCGGAACTCACTGCGGTCTCTGTCAAGGAGATTCAAAGATTAGCGGGTATGGGGGAAGGGGAAGTACTAGTTAGGGATGCCGCGGATTTTTTTCAAGCCGAAGTTTCGATGATTGAATCAAGTGGTTCGAAAGATTTCGAATTTTCGAACTTTTCATATCGAAAAATTCGACAGAAGTTGAATTTTCGAACTTATTAAACTAAGAAGTTCGAGGCTTTTCGAAATTTCGTATTTATTACGCTGCAAAATTCGATGCTTGTCGAACTTTCGAGCTTGATAGACTAAAAAATTCGATGATTTTCAAACTTTCAATTTTCTTGCACTAAAAAGTTTGAAGCTTTCCGAACTTTCGAAATTTCTACGCTAAGAAATTCGATAATTTTCGAGCCTTCAAACTTATTAATCTTAAGAATTCGATAATTGTCGAACTTTCGATTCCTGAAAAATCAAAAGTTCGACGAACTTCGAACGTTTAGGGTAAAAGTTCGGAGTTCGTCGAACTTCGAAAGACCGGCGGGCGGTTTCATTTGGATTCAAGCAGTAAAGTACATACGTAATTTTTCTTTTTTTTTTTCGCAATTTTACATGCGGTGCCGCATTCCTTGCGAAAGACTATGCCGTTTATTTCAATCATCTAGAGCGAGGAAGGACGACGGGTTTTTGACAATTGTCGTTTGTACCATATTTGAGCGCGCTATAGCCGAAGCTATTTATGTTAGGGATGTTAAACTTTTTAAGAATGATCTATGTATAGCCTAGGTAAGTGTCGTCTTAAGATATGATTATTGTTCTTCAAGATGAGTTTCGAAGAAATATCCAGACTTGTACCTACGAGCAATTATGCCCTCAACTTGGTAATTTTTTTCACCTACATTGTTTGAGGTATAGCATTTAAATTAACACCAGAGACAGTACATATCATTACCATCTGCAGAATACAAAATAATGTATTTATTGTTTTTTTCACGTTGAGGAATAAATTAACTCATGGAGGAAGATTTCTAAAATTGTTCAAGTTCAGCACGTCATTAAAAAAAAAATTTTCTTTTTTTCTCATATTACATTTTTGAGATGTGTTTTTCTTTTGGCCTGTACACATTTTGGTAGGAGAAACTTGTTTCATAGTTCTGGGCCTCTAATTATGCAAGAATAGAACACTTCCCAAGAAGTGTTGTATTCTTGCATATTCCACGGACGAACAATTCCACGGACAAACACGGACGAGCCTTGTTCGTCCGTGGAATTGAGGGCTACCGAAAAAACCACTGGACGAGCTGAGCTCGTCTATGTCAATTTTAGCCCAAAATTGGCCGACGGGCTCAGCTCATCCAAGGCACTTAAGGGGGTTAACAGTCCGATTTATCTGAAAGGGGGGGGGGGGGTGGGGGGGGGGAAACTGGAGCCCCCCCCCCCCCCCCCCCCCCCCCCCCCGTTTTTCCTCTTCCGACGCCACTGGTACGGTAGAACGCTCCTTGACCTCAAGTTGTGTCAGCTTCTGTGCTTTTTGCTCGGCGTTTCTTTTGTCCCAAAAAATAAACCTCCAAAGCAATTACAAACAAAAAAAAATGTCAAGGTGCAGGCAAGCTGGTGTATGTTGATCATGATGCAAAATCCCGAGACTGGGAATGCAATTCGCAGGAAATAGTGTAAGAAGAAAGAAAAAAGGGGACAGGACAACGTCTCAAACTCAGGTGAGTTGAGTTTGAGAGGTTGTCCTGAGCTGAGTTTTCAGCTGAGTTGAGTTTGAGACGTTGTCCTGTCCCCTTCTTTCTGCCTTCTTACACTTTTTCTTTCAAATTTCATTCCCAGTCTCAGGATTTTGCATCATGTACAAACTAATCTTACTATATGCCAGCGTCACTCGGGCGGCATTCGATCGAATTACTACCAGCGTGCAAGGGGGTAGGGGGGCAGTTCGCCAGATCACTTCAAGGTTTTTCTGAGCCTCAACCACCTGCCTGCCCCTGGTCATTTCGAACTGGATGAGTATCGTTAAACAGTGCGTTCGTAGGATCACTACTTCGTGATGCACGTTAATGACCACCCCAGGCTGGCGGTCACAATTACTGATCTATTGTCACATGTCACTCTGCACTGGCCAATATTCCAGCGCATCCAAGACACTCGTTGTTTCATTTAATTGCCTGACCAACTTCGCGCAGTGTAAATATCACACCCAAACTTTTCTAAACCTGATTTCGTGAAAACCAGTGAGGCGGGAAAACGTTATTTGAAACTGAAACTGGTGGCGGAACAGGAAAACCGGACTTCAAACTTTGCGCACTTGGACTTCAAAGAAATTAAAAATCTTCAAAGCTTTTTTTTTTTTTTTGAATTTAGTCCCAAAAGAGAATCGAAACCTTCAAACTTTATGTAGAAAGAAATTCGAAATCTTCGAACTATCAAACTTTATTTATGTCTTTAAGAATTTGAAACGTTAGATGTTTCGAATTTTAGATCCAAAGGAATTCGAAACAATTGAATCTCGAATTTCAAATTAGGGAAGTTCGAAATCTTCGAATTTATCAAACCTCAAGTAAACAAATATTCGAAATAATCGAACCCAAACTTTTAGAAACCGTGAAAGCTTCAAACTTTTCGAATTTGAAACCCCAGGATTTTCGAAAGTTGTGAATGTTTCGAATTCGAACCTTCGTACAGTCGAAAATATCGAAACCTTTCGAATTCGAACATCAGTTCAGTTCGAAAATATTGTAACCTTTCGAATTTAAACCTAGGGTGGTTCGCGGCATCCCTAGTACTACTGCTTTGTTTTATTAATGCCTTTCAAAGACTGCCCTTTTTAATGCTCTTACAGAATTAAAATTCTTATTGAACGTTGTCATGTTATTTGTTAAATCAAATATTGAAAATTGCTAATGTGCCATCTTAGAATGAAGGAATGTGAAAAAAAAACAAAAAACACTACATAAACATTCTAAATATTTGCATACACACAAATTTTTCCTTGCAACTGGATTTAGAAGGAAGCTAGGTGAGCCAGCTTGTACTCAATAAAAGTGCAGTGTTAAAAATATGAAAGATGTTTACAATCCCCTGTAATGCCGAATTAGAGCGCAGCCCTTGAGGACTCCTGCTCGCCCCCCATTTTAGGGAAAGTTTTTCCGCTAAATTTAGCGGGGAATTTTTTCCACTAAATTTAGCGGGGGAATATTTCTGCTTAATATAGCGGGGAATTTTTTTCGTTAAATCTAGCGGGGACTTTTTTCCGCTAAATTTAGCAGGGAATTATTTCCGCTAAATTTAGCAAGGTAATTTTTCCGCTAAATCTAATGGGGAATTTTTCCCGCTAAATCTAGTGGGGACTTTTTTCCGCTAAATCTAGTAGGGAAGTTTACCCTTAATGCACCGCGTGGTTACGCCGACGGCGACGCTGCTCAAGCCGGAAATGAGTGCCTAAGAGCTGCACTCTAAAAATTCTTCTTATATTCTAAATATTTGCATGCACGTGTAAACATACACCCTCATGTTTGGTGTTTGCCTTCTCTAAAGGACCTCCTGAGGAGCCTGAATTCAGGGTTGCAGAAGGACGCATCAGCATCCATGTTTTCTTCTTTCTGTGCAGACTGGGAGCAAAAAAACAGCAGTATACCAAGCCCCACGTTGCCTGGCGTGTTTTCATTCTCACGCACATCATCCACAGGCTCCATAGACAACATACTTACTTCCTCGTCAGCTCACAACACAGGTAATATGAGATGGGCATTGTTTATTACCCAGTTCTTAAAATATTTCGTTTTGTTACTACTGCTGGCTTCAGAATGAAGCATTGAGTAGCAGGTCAAGCTTATTCCTACAATAATTCTATGGAGTTTCTTTTGTTGTGCTGTGGTTAAAGCTGGTAAAAAGAACTAAAAAGGAGTTTCCTGGAAGTCTCAGAATGCTAGCAAATATTTTGCTAAGATGCATAATTTTCTGTGCAAGTCAGTTATCCTGAAATGGGTAGATTAGGTCAAGGTGTTACTCTTATAGTACCCTCCTTCATTGAGCTGCCTATTTTCCTCTAAAACAAAAGCAAAACAAAATTTGCTTTTTCTGAAATACAATCTCAAAATATTTTTGAGTCTTAGCCTATACAATAAGCAAGACGTTTGCACTAGGGGTGTGAAAATATTTGAGTTGTGAGTTCTAATTGAATAATGATCGTCCAAATAATTTGGTTCAGCTTTCGGATTCCTAGTACTTGAGTTCTCTAATTATTAGATACATTGAATAGTAGTTAGTGCTGATGAAAATAATTTGGATTTATTCGGGAATGCTGTTCATGTGGTGAAATTGTCCTCACAGGCTTGTGGTGGATCTGCACCTAGCCTGGATTGAGCAGCCTTGACTAAAAATTTATTTCTACAGAAATTAGTTTGTTTTTGTGTTCCTTGATTGAAGCATTTATTCTCTCGGTTTCTCTGATGCGCTTGACAGGAAACCGAAAACCACTCATGTCGCCATTTTGAATTCAAGGAACTTGTGTCACCTGCAGCCATCTCTCCGCGCTGTGGGCCTATTCTCGGTTACTACGTCCATATGAGAAATGATCGCAAAAAAATAACAGCTATAATTAAACCGGCTTTTTCCGCTGACCCGTTGCCTTCTACGGTATCGAGCGAGGTACTAGGGCTAGGTGATGCGAGGCGTCACACCATTCAAACGGTTTAGCTATATCCATTCATTCATCCAAAACACTGCATATCCACACATGGATGGGTGGGCACATTCTTCAACGGTGTATTCAGTTTGTAATTTAACTGTTGTCATTAACACCTTTTTGATTTCTGCTGGCCTATCTTCGTTCTGCATGCCCTTTAGAAGAACAAACATGTAGGGGTTTTTCTTTTTCATCTATGCAGCTTTTTGTTTCAATATTACGAATAAAATTTTTGATATTTGTATTTGATTTGACTTGACTTCTAGCCTATTTTTGACACTTCGATTTGGATTTGAATTGAAATTTTAATATTTGCTCTCCTTTTTTAGAGTTAAAAACACAACTGCTTGTGAATGTTCAGAACATTTGCAAGCAGTTGTGGGACAGTTCTAAGGAAGATTGAAATAAAGGCGATAAGGTCAGTCGAATTCGTAAGAAGCTAAAAATAACTAACACTCTCTTTGTCTGGGACAGTGATAAACAGGCACGTGCAGCACTAACCAGGGTGTTTAGCGACTGGGAAAACTGGAAATTGTTAGGGAAATTATAATTACTGGGAAAAATCAGGAAATTGTCAGGGAAATAGTCAAAAAGCGAGCCCAGTCAGGGAAAATGAGCCAGAAACGCCATCGAGTGTCCTGAGCAAAGGCTTGTGGACTTGGGGTTGCTTAGAGCGGAGCACGGGCCCTGCTCACTTGATATAGAATGTGCTACCCGATGCAAAGGGAACAGCCGACAAATCCAGTCCACACCTGAGATTGGATTGGATTGAGAGCGCGACACTAGGCTAGATCCAGTTAGAGCTACTAGGTTTAGTAACAAGGGGAAGGCCGTAGACCCTAATCCAAACCAAGCCGAAAGTATCCGAAAGTGCATCTCGCGGCCAGGTTGCCATTCGGTTATTGACGTGTGTGGAATTATTTTCCCCAGATTATAAAATAATACGGAAGGACAGGTACCCGAGGGGGGAAAAAGGCGTGGCCAAAGCCTTAAAAACAAAACTTGCCCTATAACCGAATGCCTGATAACAGTGGTGTTAAAATTTTGTGAATTCGTGTCAGCATTTTTTCCATATCTCTTATCATCGGTGCACTTTACAGACCACCTAGCAGTGGCAATGATTTTGAAAAAATAAAGGACTATCTCTCCGAAAATGTACATGCAAATTCTAGAGCTATTCTTGGATCTTAACCTGCCTAATATAGATTGGGAAAGCACGTGGTCAGCATGTCATAATTTGCAGGCTTTAATAGAGCTGACCTTCTTTTATGATCTGAATCAAATTGTACGTGCTCCCACAAGATTATCTGAAGAAAAAGACTCGATACTCGATCTAATTTTTCTTACCCCAGAATTTACATGAAAGAGAGTGGAAAGCATAGGGTGATTGAGGGAATTACAGATCATGAAATGGTATTGATTGCTTTTTCCACAAATAATACGCCCTGCGACGCACGGAGTCGCAAAGATTATCTCGACTTCTCCAGGGCCGATCAATGACTTCGCTATTATTGACGCCCTAGCGTTCTCTTTTAGTGACTTTTTCAGTGCTTCCAATACACATGAGATCGACGTAAATTGTTTGTGGCGGTTTTTTGAAAATATTGTTCTTGACTGCGTTTCAATATTCGTGGCAAAAAAAGTTAAGTTGACATATAAAAAAAATCTGTGGATAAATAGGGAAATTATTCAAATATGCCGTAGACTTTTTAGACTTTGCAAACGATCGAAAGACACAAGCCTCGTCGACCAATTAAACCACAAGCTTAGGGATACAATTAAAGGAGCAAAACATTGATTCTTTAATGTAACAATGCCCTCCTTTCTCAAGTCCTTGCCTGAGAAGTTTTGGCGCTTAATATTGCCCTTTAAACCAAAAGTAAATTAGTTGAATATTGATAATGAAATTGTGGATGACCCCTATTATATTGCTGATGCTTTCAATAAATATTTCACGTCCGTTTTCAGTTTAGACAGTGGCCACAGTCTGGTATTTGAAGCAATTCGAGAAGACAGAGAATGTGCTAGAAACTGTTTGCCAGATATAACAATTTCAAAGGAAGGTATTCTAAATTATATCTTGAGTATTAACGTTAATAAGGCAGTTGGGTCGGACAGAATTCCCAATGCTTTTTTGAAAAGGTATGCGGAATGGAGCGCTAAGTACTTGACTGTAATATTCAGAAAGTCGCTAGAAACTTGCACTGCAGTTTCAAAATGGGAAATTGCAAAAGTGATTCCCATTTTAAAATTCGGTGACTCAATGGTTGTTTCCAATTATCGACCTATTTCCTTGCTTAGTATTTGTATTAAAGTTTTGGAGCATGTTGTATTTAAACACATATCGGCATATCTAGAGCAAAATAGCTTTTTTTTCTAAGGCTCAACATTGTTTCCGCCAAAAAGTGTCTACCATCACCGAACTGACCGAAACAGTGCATGACTTCGCGTCTGTAATAAATACTCGAGGGCAAACTGACATTGTATGCTTGGACTTTTCAAAAGTGCTTGACTGCTTTCCACATGAGAAGCTACTAACTAACAAAATTGGTGGTTGTCTTAAATAATACTAATATTTTGAAGTGACTAGAAAGTTCTTTGACTATGAGACAGCAATTTGTACAATTTGATAGCACGTGTTCTGGTACCACACACGTGACGTCTGGGGCCCCACAGGGATCCGTTCTTGGGCCTCTATTGTTCTTGATATTTGTTAATGATATTGTTTGTGAAATCCCAGTCAAGATAAGATTATTTGCAGATGATTTTTTGTTTTTAAGGAAATCAAAAGTCTCTGGGACTGAAATATTTAACTTCTCGCTAGAAAGATTGTCTGGATGGTGTGCTGACTAGCAAATCTGACTCAATTTATCTAAGACTGTTTGTATGTCTATTATTCGCAAGAAAAGTCCTTTACTTTTGGTTATTCTTTTAGCACCTGTAGCCTTCTTAGAGTTTTCTCATATAAGTATTTGGGTTTGACTATAACATCTGACCTCAGGTGGAACACACATGTTAGTAACATATCTAGTAGAGCAATGAGTAAGTTGGGTTTTCTTTGCAGGCATATGAAGCAGGTGCCCGTGATACAAAGTTGTTATTATATAAAACTCTAGTTAGGCCAATGTTAGAATAGGCAAGTGTCATCTGGGATCCCCACACATCATGTTGTAGTTCAAAACTCGAGAGAATTCAGAGATTAGCGGTGCGTTTTCTGTACATTATGCATTCCTCTTATGTGTCCCCCACAAAACTTTCTACTGAGGTGGGCCTGGAAACCCTACAGGAGAGAAGGAGAATGAATTGTCTTAAGTTTCTCTACCTTATCGCTAATGACGAGCTTGGAATAGACAAAGATGATTATATTACATTTTTCTGCCCCAGATCTACTAGGCATTTTCACAGCAGAACAAGAAATCCCTATAGTTATAAAAATGCCACATTTAAATACTCCTTTTTTCCTCAAACAATTATTGATTGGAATAGTTTGCCACCTGATGTTGTACATACTACTAACTTCTTAGATTTTTGTTCCAAGTTATTGCAGCAAATGCAACCTGTGTGATGTTATCTTTGATCCACTCCTGTAATAAGCTCGAAAGAGATTAACAGTATATTAATAAAGAAAAAGAAAGAGTGTCATAAGAGCGGATGAATGCCGCTGAATTTAAAATGAGCATTGTCCAAACAGATGATGAGGACAGTGACCACAAGTCCACAATCAGCTACAAGGAACGCAGGCGAGAGGCCCACACGCAGGCTGAGCAGAAACGCCGGGACGCTATCAAGAAGGGATACGACGACCTGCAGATGCTGGTGCCGACATGCCAACAGGACAGTTCGAACTCCTTCAAAATGAGCAAGGCTACAGTCCTTCAGAAGTGTAAGGCTTGCACCTGACCTTTCAGCTCTCGCACTTAAAAATGCAAAGTGCTGGACTTGCCTCGGACATTATTACAAAAGATACGGTGGCCAGGAAGACTATAATATGAGAAGCATCTTAACAGCAAAAGCATGCATGGCATGAAATGCATTATGCTGCAGCTTTTTTGCTTGTTGACTTTAGTAACATTCAACTGAATCTGTTACATAATGGTACAAAAGGTGTTTGCCAGGGCAGTGTAGGGGAGGCTACTATTAAAGAGTAACAGTGTCACAGCTACATGTTGTGAAAGAGCCTGTCACTAGGGAAAGCAGGATGACAACATGGCATGAGGTTTGTTTTCCTGTATAAGATACACTAGCTTGCATTACACTCATGAGAAATTGGTTATTATGGAGGAAGTAATTTTACCACAATAATATAAGGCGCAAAACGTGAGGGCGCAAGTGAGCCGGTGCAAGTTCATAATTGTAGAATTACCGGAGACCGCAGTCTCGGGCAATCCTACAATTATGAATATAAGGCAGTTACTTTACGAGATAATAGTCAGTGAATCGACGCTTTAGTATTTTTTCCCCAGTTTAATTATGAATGCATTTAAAAGGTGTTTCTACTAATATGTCTGGAAAGCATTATTTAGTGTCTAGTAACACACAAATACTAAATTGTGCTAGTGGAATTGTTCTTTTTTTTTTTTTTCTAAGAAAGTTAAGGATAGTGGGTAGACCTTGAGGCAGCTTGCTTTGTAGGTCTATTTACAAATCTTCAGTCAGAGCCAATCAGAGCTCGGCGTTCTGACGTCAACGCAACCCCCACGAAAGAAGCAGACAAACTTGCGCTCCTGCTGTTTTACATTTTAATTTGGGGCGGTGGTTTCAACACCTATGCACTTGTGCAATGAGTGCAATTATGGAAAAAGATTGTGGCTGCAGTTCGAATGCAAGGGTATTAAAGGGGCACTGACACCCCAAAGGTCGTATTTATTTTTATTGTCTAAAACGATGTAAGTTGCAGTCATAGACACGCAAAAAAAACCGCACCGCGAAAAAAAATTTTCCCGGGCCCGCGCGTGCCTTTTTATTTTTGGCGTTTGATTTTCCCGCCTCTCGCCTCCTCGCTTCTTTTGATCGGTGACGTCAAGAATCAGGAAATTTAGAAGCTTTGTAGGCGACATCTCTATAACATTTAATTACGGCAATCCTAAAACATGTTTTTTAACGCAATTGCGAACGCACTACGGCCCTTCTTTTTGAAATACCAAAAATCGGGAGTTCGTTGTGGTGCCGTCTCCTGGATTGGTATCCTCCAACGGAAAACAGGCGACACCGCTCAAAACCGGTCCGCCGCAACGAGCCGGCGCTCGCTCCTTTCCTCCTCGCTTTGGGTCGCCATGGCAACAGCAGGGAGTGGAGAAAAAAAAGTGGACTCTCAGGTCTCACCAATTTTTGACGTCAAGGCACCGGCGCCGATCGCGCGGGAACTTCGAATTCGGCATTTGGAAATTGTTTTTTTACTTCACGAATACTGAATTCCCAAATTTCAAATTTTGAGGGTAATGTCCCGGCATCGTTTTCGATCGTTTCGGATAATAAAAAAAAATATGATTTTGATGTGTCAGTGCCCCTTTAAGTATGTGGATGTGGGTCGAATAAAGAGAATGACTTCACTATTCATGGAGGGCTGTAGTGATAGGCCACCAAAAAGTAGCTACTGTGGTTACCACTGTTGTGTTTCCAGTAGCTAGTTATTGCCAGTGCTAGTATGCTTAGCTTTTTACATGGAATGCAGCTTTTGCCATTCTCAGTCATTTCTTGCTCCAAGTATGCGCAGCGAGTTCTCTCCAGTTCTATTGAGACGTGAAGCCTCTATGCTGATGAGGCAACTGCACATAATATCTAAAGGTTGCTGAATTTTTAAGATTATTGAGTGTGAAATGAGGGCAATAATATTTGCCCAATACCCTTGCTTTACAGCAATAGATTATATCACTTTCCTGCTGCAACAGAAGAAAAAGCATGAAGAAGAGCTCAACGCACTTCGAAAGGAAGTTGTTGCCCTTCAAATTATGAAAGCGTAGGTCATTGCTTTTTTAGTATCCTTGTAATTTGCTGTTATATCTTGGTGTATTTGTTCAGCATATTTTTTTCTTTACTGTTTACAGGAATTATGAGCAGATTGTCTTGGTACACCAAAGCCAGCCAGGTCAGAATAATAACCAGATCAGTGATGAAGTCAAGTTTCAAGTGGTATGTCATGCCTCAGCATGTAATTTGTTTTAAATCATTCATGTAGGTTTAGGAGGGCCTGAATTTTAATGTTTACATACTAGTAGTCAGATACACTTTGAATAAAACGTTTAGTGGTGATTGTGCAGGTAGGGCAACATGCACTGTTTGTAACAGTACCCGAGTCTGTCGCATGAGTACAGAATCTGTTGTGCAACTTGGGCATTCTTCACAACTATGCTCTCTTTGACTTGGTGGTACACATTGTAAATGCCTGAAGAGTGTTAACAATACTAAATCATTAACTGGGGAAGTATGATTGGTAACTGCCCCCTACTGCATTTTTGCAACTACATATGACTTTTAAAGTGCAGCTCTTAGGCACCCGTTTACGGCTTGAGCTGCGTCGCCGTTGCTGTCACCGTAACATTTCGGCGTAACGCTTTTTTGTGACTCGTCGCCGTAGTTGTAACACTTTTTTGTTACTCATTGGCGTTATCGTAACGCGTCTGCGTCGGCATAGTCGTAACGCGTCGGCATAACGCATTTTCATGATGCGTCGGCGGACCCGTAACGCATCGGCATCGGCGTAACTGCGCGGTGTATTATGGCAAAGTTGCCATAATGCACTGCGGTGAAGTGCGCTTTGCATTATGGAACGTTTCCCATAATGCACCGTGCGGGAGGGGGGAGGAGGAAGAGAAGAGGGGGAGGAGGCAAAAAGCAGGGGAGAAGTAGATGAGGAGGGAGGAGGAGAGGCATACCGTCCCCTCCGTACCCTCCCCTCCTCCTGCTCAAGAGCTGCGCTCTAATTTGGCATTACAGGGAGTTGTAAACATCTTTCATTTTTTCTACTTCAATTTATTGAGACTCAGCATCAGCAATCATTTGGATATGACTTATAAATATTGTAGCTTTCATAGGTATTTCAGGATGCAGATCCTTAACATAAAACAGTATGAACAGATCCTGTGAATTGCGATTGGGCACGTCACCGTAGCGGATGCTGTACTGTTCATGAGTTTGAATTGTAGTTCCTGCTGAGTTTCTACACTTCCACGGTATTGTTCATAGTGTTGTAACCTAAGAGCCAAGCAAACTTCACAATATTGCTTGAGTAGAAAATAAGAGGATAAATCAGCTAAGAAGAAAAGTGGTCAGTCAGTCACCAGCTCCTCACCCAAGGAGAGCCAAAATGTTCATGAGTGTCAAATATTTATCTAGCTATGTAGTTCTTATCATACTATCATATTCACTCGCATAATTAACACTTCCCAAAAAATTGATGCAAACATGGAGGGTGCATTTACTATACATGTAATATTTTATGCATTTACACATTTTGCTTAAATGTAATTTTAGATGCGAGTTTGATGGAAGTAGTATTATGATGAAGGTGCCCCATATTAGCCCCGCTCTACAGATGACAAGCCTCTCTTGGGCACCTTTAGCATTCTTTCTACTTAAGAAAAATCCCTCTATGATACTCAACAGTTTCCACACCAGCGGCACTTGACACAGAAAGTGACGCGACCGTTCCCAAGTCTAACCGCTTCGACACACCACGGTGTGTATTTTTTTACATCAATGCTGTTGATGGTCGAAACATCTCCGGGGTCCGGGCAATTCTTCTACCCTTGCATTGTTGCCCATGCGCACCATACAGACCGCTCCATTTTTTCATTTCATGACTTTCCACTTTCGTAGCAGCTATAGCATGTGCTGCCTTGCTTGGCTTGGCTTGTCCACCAGCTGGGTCAGGTGCAGTCCCATGCTCGCGGAACCAGAATTGGGGGTGTGTTCATTATACGTAGTGGAAAGAAATTCAAAATTTTACTGTCTGTTGATGAGGATAAGCTCATTATGCTCCCTAGTTGCTGTTAAACAAATATGAGAATATCTTTAATAAGGTAGTTCCTTAACTTGCTAAACTTTACTAACTTCGAAGCCTTGTCACGCACTCCTCGTGCCGTATGTTTCCAGACTGCCTACAAGGGCCTGATCCCAGATGAGTGACAAACAAGCACCGATTGCGGACATGTCAAACACTCATTGTTAACAACATTTTTTATGCTCAAGCATCACCAAATGGGCACAAAAGAAAATATTGAACAGGTGGTACTGCGGAAAATCACTCGAGTAACGAGAAAGAGCATATTTTGTTTCGTTGTCGGACAAGATAAAATTGCATCTTCACTGAAAGAGTTCCGAGGAATAATTGTTATCACATCTTTACGATGTATAGTCCTAGGATGCCTTGCGGCGACTTTTAACTTTGTTAATCCGTGTTTCTCCTTTCCCCGCTCTCTCCTCACGGATGAATCTGCCAACAGTCCAGCTTTTGCTCTCTGTCCTCGGTGCTCTCGCGTAACGATAACGAAACGGCACACCAATAGACAAAAGACAAGTGAAAGGAATGCACAGAATGAGCACTGCCCGACAACTAAAAGTTAGTCCAAAAACGTTAGTCTTCAGCTCGTCTTTCAATAAGGTCAGGAGCAAGTTGCCCGTCTTCAGTTTCAGGCAATTGGCGATTCCCTGTTCACCTCGTTCAACTCCTCCATATCCGTGGCCAACTTTGCCGAGCTGTCCGGGGGCGTGTTCAGCTGGCTTGAGGAGTACTGCAAGCCCCAGACACTCAAGGACATGGTGCTGCAGATCTTGTCTCAGCTGAACCAGACATTTGGATCACGTCACTCCTAGCTGGGCGCGCGGGAAAAGCCGCCACGGTCACCGAAGGGACAAGAACGATGGGGTGTCTCCTTCATATGCCCGGCCTCTGGCGTGTGGCCATTGCCCTTTGCCGCGCTTTGGCTGCGCGTACACGCTCTGTGCTCACGAGGTGCCTAAGCGTCATCAAAGGTGGGACGCTCACGCTGGAGGCACTCGTGGACCTCCCTGCCATTTCTACACTGTCCATGACTATGTAGAGTGCAAGTTCATCCGCTTCTTGCACAGGGTTTGCGACAATGTCAGAAAGCCAAAATAGGTAGATTCTGAGGCATTTAGCATTAGAGGTCTACCCACTATCCTTTCTATCAGTTTTCAGCGCTTAGCGTCGTTTTGACGTCACCGCAACCCCTGCACAAGAAGCAGATGACTTGCTCTCTGCGTAGCACCTTGTGTATATTAGTGTGTAAGGCGAGATGCAAAAAGAAGCACCGAAAGAATGTTAAAGTATACTTTTGTACTTTTATTTTTTCTTTGTCCAGCCTCGCTTTATACGGTTATTTTTTATTTTTGTTTCTCCCATTTCTTTTATCTAGTTTTATGTGTTGGTCGTCTCAACTTGGTGACGACAGAGTTTAAGCAATGTTTATGGTTGTTATACCAGTATATGTGCAGCTTGAAGCGTTAGGTTATTAGTGCCCCTAAGTGGACTTCCTGTACATAAGGCAGAAGATTATGATCAAGCATGTCATTGATGTCTGTTCCAGTTCTGAAGTCAGGTTGAGTTGATTCAGACATCTCATAGTGTTTCTAGTTAGTTACCTTACACTGTACAAATTTAGCTAGTTCTTATAATAAGGAACTGTCAAAAGTTATGTTTCTATATACTTACAGAATTGAGTGACTTATGGTAAACAGATTTCTTCTGTTCTCGGATACGAGTATACCATGTTCTGTAAAAGCATGCTAAAAGATTATCTTATTACCTGAACAATGAGTAGGTTAACCAGTAGTATACATTTCTGGCAGTCATTGCATGAATACCCACATGTGCTCCATGTTTACATAATGCTTGCAGAGTCCTTGATTTCCCTCTTAAAAAAACAAATTGTGAATAAACTGTTAGTACAAATGTTTGCTGCAAACATAACATAATTCCTTGACCTTCATCAGCCAAGCGAATATAACCAAATTTCTTACATATTCAGTACCTGAAACCACAGTCAGCATGGCCTTGTCCCAGTCCTTCTGTACGTTGTACGTGAAAAGTCTGACAATAAAAAAAAAGAAAAAGAAGGAAACCTTACTTTGACTGTAAGATACTGTGGAAGCGCCCACTTCGTTCAAGCGCTTACTATTAACTTGTTCCAAACTTGGGAATTCTGTAAATTATACGTTAAGCGCTTGATTTGTCCAGTTAAGTGCCCATGTCTAGATTAATCCAGTTTTCACTAAGAGTGGAGTGGGTGCTCCCCCAGTATTTCACGGTAGGTACAACATAGTAATTCTTGAAGTAGGACAAGACTGAATCAAAGAAAGCTTGAATGTGTACAAACACAGACACACATAGTAAATGTGCGAATCACTGGCATTTACTATGCTCGTTTGATTTTGCCAATGATGGAACATGCAGAGACAAATATTACAAACACTATGATGTTGCACTTTTTATGCTTTTTGATTGGTTCCATTGGCTCGTAGCATCGGCTGCCTTCGAACTGCAAACCTTCACTTAGCCTGAACTTCAACAGACTTAGTAAAGGATCAGGTCCAACTTTGGCGACATTCAGTAATGAGTTCAAATAATAGTGGGAGAATTGCAGGAAGGGTAAGGGCTGTGCAACTCGGGTGCCCACATGGAGTGCTGGATTTGACTGGTTCAGCTCATTTCAACTCTGGTGGACAAGAGGGAGGGGTTTGGATGCACCCAAAGTAAGGAACATTGCTCAAGTTCAAGTGTACTGTGAATGTCCCATTAAGGGGCACCAACATGCCAATTTCAATGCTATTGGCCACTATTCAAGTTTAATGAGATTTTGCATTTTCCTGACCTACTAGGATATATCGGTAGTCATGAATGTTATGGCTTGGATGAGCCTTGTGTTTAGTAAACACAGCTGTCATTGAAGCGGGTGCTGTTGCAGTAGGTTCTCATTAAACAAAGCACACTTATTTACACTATTAAAATACCTGCACATCTATTGGGGAGGAGGACTGACCGTGACGCCCCAAGCGGTTAACTTCAGAGCTACACGGATAGGGACAACAAATACAATGACTCAGTGCTCGGCCGACATAACCGAACGTGGCGTCAGCGTTCGGCTGGAGTTCGTGTTCTCCGGTGAGGTGGAGGAGGGGCTCTTTTGTTACCACCCCGGCTTGCATGAACAATGCAGCATGCACGGTGCCAGCTCAGCACAATAGCCTAAGTGGGTTAAGCTCGCATTCTCTGACGGCTGCTTTCGGGATAGATCCGGCACTTAACGTCACTTCATCGATTGTTAGTATTTCTTACATTACACTTTGAAGATGGGATGGACATGCCCATAAGGCCTGTCGGCATGTGCACAGGCCTTGTTTTGAGTAAACGCCGAAGCATGGGGAAACAAACGGGTCAAAGCGCCCCCTATGATCTCCTGCCCAATACTCTTCTGGTGGGTTCACCGTGGGCCTATCGCCAGGATTTCTGGAGAGAACCCAGCAAACGACGAGCCCCAAAAGACTTGCTCGAAAATGCATCTTACGGAGGGACTACTGTTAGACCTGTTGCAATGCGCACAACGTTACGGCGTCGGGGGATTTTGGGAACCCTCGGTACAGATCACGCGATTTCTCGTTGCGCGTGAGTCGCAATGACTACTGCCATCAGCCATCACAGTCATCTGCCGGAACGTCGTGCATCGTTGGCGGCCAGGCAGCATGCCGTAACTGTGGCAGTCTAAACGCATCGCAACAGGTGAAGCTATTCACTCTTTTGAATACATTATTCGTCGTAACTTACCTTCATGTTTTGCAGTGTCACCGAATCTACTTATTTTGCACCGCAACCGTGGCAGGCAAAACGACGGCATGTTAAAATTTAAAAAAAAAAATGTTCTAGAGAGTTTTTAATTAAAAAGAACGAGAATCGTTTTTTTTCCCGGGGCATTTGGTGGATTGGCGACGTATTTGGAAGTTATGCCAATTGTCAAAAGTCGCGGCTTTGATAGCACCCTATGCTTTACCCACGAGTAATGTCATTTTACATGAATTTTTCAGACTAGCTAGTGTGTTTTCATTGATTTTGACTTTTTTATAACCTGGTGATTAAACGCTGTAATTTTCACCAGTTATGATTGCGAACTTTGGATTGCCATACTTGTTTGCACGTTTTAAATGAGATCATAAGCTTCAAATTATATTGCAGCTTGAAAAACTACGTGTTAAAGTATCTTTACACTGCATTATTATTCATGTAATGCTACAAGCACAAAAATATGCCGTTAACTGTAATTGTCTTTGTAAAAAGGTATTTGCTTTGTTTTCTTAGCATATGAAAAACTTCGACATCGTTATCGAGATAGACATGAACTCTGCGTCATGCGTTGCGTTGAAACTCGCACTTGTGCCGTCTGACTCGGTTTCTATTTTTGACTTTTTGTAATGAGAAGCATTACTTAAATCATACGTTTTGTAAACATTTTATAAACTTGTCACCCGTAGTTATGTCTGGTAAAATTTGGATTGAACATGTTATTCTTGTGTCGAGAATTAGGATAAAGCAATTAATCATCTAAGTGTCCAAAAACCCTGTTAAAGGGACCGCAGTTCATTGTTTTAAATGACAAGTATCCGAGTGAGAAAAGCCAGCAAGAACACAAAAATAGCAGTGATTTTTTAACAACTACAATATTCTATGTTACCCCTAAGGTGTATAAAAAAGCCTGTCCTTAAGAGGGCGGTGCAACAATTTTTGTTCTTTGCGCGAATATCCCTTAGAACGAATCTGACATTTAAGGCCGGTTCACGCATACAGCGGAGCGCTAAGTTAGCGCTACGTGAGCGCTCCAAGGAGCGCTCATGTGGCGCTTCCTGGCGCGTGATGTAGCGCTCTGTTAGCGTTTCAGAAGCGTTTTGTTAGCGCTCTGTTAGCGCTACAGCGCTCTGTTAGCGCTCTCACGCCCCTTGTGTGTGCTTGCTGCTGCGGAATAGCGCGTGCACGGCGATTCCTTGGTTGTTGTTTTTCCTTTGGCATTGAAAGAAGAGGAAGTAAAATAGCCGCTCTCTAAGCATAGGGTCGGGCAGGCGACCCAGAGTCATGGACTCTGGGCGACTAATTGATTGGGTACGACCTCAGCTTTCCATTCGATATGTGTGACGCTGGTTTTAAGGACAAGCAGGTAAAAATAATTGCCTTCGAAAGAGCTCTGTCTCGGTCCCTCAGCCTATAGGAACAAGGTTCGCCGAGTACCCGTTGGTATCTCGGTGGCGACAGATTTCGCGCACCCAGAAGGCTCTTCTGGGAGTTAAGCCGTCCACACAGATATGCACTAATCGAGTATGTAAGCGCATTGTCGCATTTCTATTTCAGCATCCCACATGTCCGCCATGGTGCTGCTGATGCACACCCAACCACAGGAACCGAAACCGCAGTGCACCTGCTAATCCGCAGCACCGCGGTACAAGAAGCGCTTATGACGCGCTAACACGGTGCTACTGAAGCGCTAACAAAGCGCTACTGGAGCGCTAACAAAGCGCTACTGGAGCGCTAACAAGGCGCTACTGGAGCGCTAACAAGGCGCTACCAAAGCGCTAACCACGCGCTATATGAGAACGTAGTCACGCGCTAGAAGCGCCACATAAGCGCTCCTTGGAGCGCTCACGTAGCGCTAACTTAGCGCTCCGCTGTATGTGTGAACAGGCCTTTAGGACCAATGAAACACGCGCTCGTTTTTCTCCCCATGCAATAAAACATCGCAGTAAAAATGAAAGAAAAACGAGCTGCGTTTACCCCCTCAACTCGCAACCAGAACATCGTAACCACGCTCTGAGGATGGCAAAGCACAATACATGCGCCGAGTTCCATACATTGTAAGTCTTGATTACCACGAGCCAAAATCAAGTGCTCCTACAGTTCGGGTAGAATTAATCTATGAACCGTATTCAAATACCGTCACTGGGGGATATTGCGACTCCTACGCTACGTCATCAAGTTTTGCGAAAAAGCAACAAAGGTTTCTTGGTCAATGGTGTTGCGTGCAGGTATACTTGAGTCTCACTAGTGGCAATAAGCTCACGTAAAGTGAAAACCATTCTCACCGCCCCATTCAATGAACACTGAACTCCAAAATATTTTGAAGTGCCTGGATCGGACTCGTGTGTCATAAAAATAAAGCTTCAGGAAACAACTTTTTAGAGCGCAGCTCTTAAGCATGGAACTCGTAAGCGATCAAACTAATCAAACTGGGCGCCGCGCGCCGTTCGCCGCTAGGTGCCTCACAGGCGCCCAGCCCGCCCAGCTCGACCAGAGTAAGGGTGTCGCGAACCGGCCGCGGTTCGAGTTCGACCAGGTTCGACTTTTTCGAACTTTTAGTGAAAAGTTCGGCGAACCTTGTATTGAGGTTCGACTCGTGTGCGTATGCGCGGCAGGCAGGCCAGTTGGCTTCGGATTGGATGGTGATGGCTAAGGGATGAATCAAGGGCAGCGCTGATTGGCTCTTTCATTTAATTCAGTACAAAAAAAAATAAGTTATTAACGCCTTCAGTGATAAGAATTGATTTCTTTTCATTGCAAATGTTCATAAAATAAAATAACCCATTGCATACAAAAAAAGATTCTCCAACCCTAGACATGCTTGCTTCAAGGTCTGGCTACAGTGTCCACAAAGTCGAACCGGTCGAATTTGGTGAAAAGTTCGAAGGTTCGTCGAACCGGTTCGACCCAGTCGAACCCCGAAAGTTCGACCCAAAAATCTGGTTCGACAAAAGTTCGCGACACCCCTAGACCAGAGCCTTGTATGTAGAGGGTTTGGTCATTCGTTGGGAAGAATAAGAGACAAATGAGGAGGCGCCATTGTCCGAAAGCGGGCTGGGCCTGTTCCAGGGCGTCTTCAGAAATTTAAATGTGGTCAACCAGAAGCCGGAAATAATACCCTGGCGGTGGCCGCGGGAAACAAACTTGATAAGTGCATCGGTGTAACTCTTGGTGCCTGAAAATATGGTGCACGTGATGTTTCAATCACAGTCATCCAAAATCACGGTGGAAGAGTGCGACTAGCGGAATGGTCGGCATAATCCGTACGCCAGGCGCCGAGGAT